GCAAACTGTGACACCTCCAGCTTCTATCTGATCTGCTAACTCCCTATGAGCCTTATCGCTGCTTCAGATCCTCCAGCAGGGCCCTACTAATGCAACAAAATCTTAGCTAGTCATTGAAGATCATGACTTTTCTTAGCTGATGGTATTTGTTCCAGTTGTTTAAATTGTTTTATCTTTTGGATTTATTTACTTATTTGTTTTTACTGCAACACACCTTGTAACAGTGTTTTGAAAGGTGCAATACATTTCAAAAAGTGATTTTAATGAAATGTTAAGGACTGTGAGAGGATGTTGACTGACCTACAGTCAAACCCAAGCTTCAACAATCAATACTTGGCTAAGTATTGAAAGATTTCCGATTCATGATGTCAGTACTGTGAGTACACTTGTAGTTTCCAGGTATAACAAGTCAGACCAGTTAGCCAGTCTTAGTGAAATTCACTAAGTTAGCACTGCTGATTTATTTTGTTTAGTTCATCAAACAGTGTCGACAGAGGAAGTTTAACAGAAGGATGACTGGGGGGATCAGGTGTGTCGTGTTGTGGTCCTGACCTTTCTGCTGAGTCTCGCAAGAGGAGGTGAGTGAGGCGTTCACAGCCCATCTGATCTTATTCTAAACATAAATCACAGAGGTGTTTAAACTTGGTGCATTAGTGTCATGATTATTTTCACTAAAGAAAGGAAGCACATCAGGAAAAACAATAAACAAAGATGAATTTATAGTAAAACTTAAAGGTCTGTTGACCCAAAGTCACAGAAAGAAGAACGAGGTGTCCAGCTGTTCAGATATTTTTGATGTTATGTGCCACTGTTTTAAGATATTTTCCTCTGAAACGATAGGTGATAAACAGGAAGTTTCACATGAAAACTCTCATGTCTGTCTGATGTTTATAAAAAGCATTATGTTTCCTTTTATGCCTGTGGAGTGTGAGGTCTCAAAATCTTGGCACGTAATATAGCCACTGTATGCCGATGACTTCATACTACACCTCTGTGTTTTTATGGTCGCATCAGGCAATCAAATGGAAATTTTATGGACACATTTACCCAAGATTGAACCTGACATATTTTATATCTTTGGAAACTTGAGGATCTCCACTAGACTTTAAAAGAAAGATCTGCTGGCTTGAACGTTGTTTTGCTGCAGAGTATGACTTTGTTTAAACTGACCCACCAGGTCACTGAGGTTCCAATTATTTTTATATACTATAGTAAAAACAAATCTGTTGTAAAGGAGGAAAAGACTGAGAGCATCATCTTGTCTACAACTTTAACTGGTATCCTGCTGAACCTGTCTTGATACATTCCTCCAAAACAGACTGAAGCCTGAACTGAGTACTTTCGTTTTCCAGTTGAGTTAAAGAGAAACCAGCAGGTAGCAGAAACTGCAGCTGTTACTAAAAAACAAAGTGCAGAAACTCCATCAACAAAAAGTAATTAAATGTTGCTGCCAGGACCTGTGTCACTCATCTTATAGCATTTTATGATTTTTGCCCACTTTCAAATCTGTGTTAATGTTTTTCATACATTTATATATCTAAATCCTTTTTCAGTGTATTTTATAGTTTTGTCTTTCCAAAAGTACTAACAGTTTGTATTTAGTTATTTTATTATTTAGCTATGCAAGAAAGTGAATGTGCATGTGTACAGTAAGTACAAGTAAATGTGTATATATTACTGTGTCCACTGAATGAATCTGTATGTTTTTAAGCAGGCTTTGAAAACATGCACATATGACTTTATATGTGTATATTGTGTTCATCATTACTGGCAGCAGTGAGCAGCATTATTATGGTTATTATAAGAGCTTCAATTATATTTAAAATATGTAGACAAAAATCTATATTTAAAACAATATAGTTCTTATACCTCCATCTTTACACTTTTCTCTCAACCGCAACAACCTCCATAATTAAAATCACAAGGCTGCCCTCTACAATCACTCCTGAAACTGACTGTCAGGCCCTTCAATGCATTTTAACACCTTACAGACACATTTCATCACATGCAGTCCTGCTTCTTCTAAAACTATAACTCTAAAAAGGCCTAAAAGCTGCAAAGATCAGTCAGGCCAGATCTGTGTCTTCTTCTACATCAGAGGCTTCCAACCTGGAAGATGAGATTCCCCAATCTGACAGTCTGCAGGATGATTAGTTTGGAAAGAGGACGAAACGTCATATGCTGCATAAAATGTGGTTTATTTTTTACTTTACCAATGCGTGTTTTGTCTTGTGAAAAGCTTTTATTGAGGATTCTTGGTTGTATTATTTTTATGTTGTTTGTTGTAATTTATGTTCTTGTTGTTATAATTTTCTTTGTTTGCTGTACAGCACCATTTTACATTGTTTTGTTAAGTGCTCAATAAATATATTGGTTTGTTATGTATTGTTACAACACAAATTTGGGCAAAGTGGGCAAAATAAAAAGTTTACTTTTTGATGAAAGTAGCTTAATAAAAGACACATTTCAGTAATGTTAGTGAATATAAATAAATGTGGTTAAACACATCACTTGGATTCAGTCATTTTACCTGATGTGTTGCAGATGTTGAGATCTCCTGTGTTTTCATGCAAAGTTGCATCTTACCGTGCACTTTTCGGGCCGGCTCTGACGTGGTCATCCATTGGATTCAGGTGACAGGAGACACTCCTGTTCACTCCTACTACCACAACCAAGACCAGCTCGCATACCAGGGCCAGAATTTCGGCGGCAGGACATCACTGTTCAAGGACCAGATCTCCAGAGGAAACGCCTCGCTCCAGCTGACAGACGTGCAGGTTCAGGACCAGGGCAGATACAAGTGCTACACCAGCACCGTCAGAGGAAACAAGGAGTTATTTATCAACTTAAAAGTGGCTGAAGAAACACAAGGAGAGAAAGAAACCATCAAATACAACACAAATTTAACTGGTGTGTATTTTCCAGTTTATTAGGTTATTAAAACAACAGTCCTCCTTCAGGGAGGTCATAATGTATTTGATAAAAATGTTTTAGAGACGTGTTGATTCAACTGGATGATCAGTTTGGAATGATGTTTCTGATATTTAGCCTCTCCTCACTGATGTACTCTATATGGGTTGAACAAAATAACAATTTCTTTATGGTTTTGCTGGCAGTGTGTTGTGCTGTTACTGCCACACATAAACATACGTTTTCTCCCAATGCCATATGAATAACTTACATACATTATACACCTACATATTCCACACTAATGACATACACTATTGTATGTACTAACTGGTGTCCCACAACAAATCGATGAGCTACTCAGAGCTGCAAAACATGAAGCCATGAAACATGAAGTTTTGTGGGTGAAACAGCTCCAGAAGTGGTGCTAATTAGCAGAGTTTCAGGAGCGGGACCACACATCAAGCACATCATCGCCAGCATTTCCATAAATACCCACACGTCCTAAGTCCTCCCCTTCACCCTCGTATCCTGCATACCTCCCTCCCACCCTTTTCTCTGTCCTGCTTCCTGATCTCCTTCCTCCTCTTTGACAGTCTCTTTACTTGATGTGTTGCAGATGCTGAGGTCTCCTGTGATATCATGCAAAACTGCATCTTACCGTGTAGCTTCCAGGGTGGCAAAGATGTGGTCATCCACTGGATTCGGGTGACAACAGGAGACACCCCTGTCCACTCCTACTACCACAACCAAGACCAGGGCCAGAACTTCGGAGGCAGGACATCACTGTTCAAGGACCAGATCTCCACAGGAAACGCCTCGCTCCAGCTGACAGACGTGCAGGTTCAGGACCAGGGCAGATACAAGTGCTACACCAGCACCATCAGAGGAAACAAGGAGTTATTTATCAACCTAAAAGTGGACGGTACGAGAAACACATTGGGAAAAAAGATACAAGCAAATACAAAAATAATTTAACTGGTGTGTATTTTCCAGTTTATTAGGTTTTTAAAACAACAGTCCTCAGGAAGGTCAGAAGGTTTTTGTTGAAACTGTTTCAGATATGTTGATTCAACTGTATGATCAGTTTGGAGGATGTTTCTGTTATTTAGCCTGGCGTCACTGAGAAGCTCTATATCGGTTGGACACAATAGTAGAAACAATTTCTTTGTTTTCTCTGTAAGTGTGTTTAACATTGTGATGATTCAGTAGTTCTAATTGCACTTGTTGAAGTTCAACAAACTCTTTTTCTGTTTTAGACCCTTCAAAAATGCAGGAAAACACATTACTTGGAGAGTTTGCAATCATTGTGGTTTTAGCACTTATTGGATGGCTGGCAGCATTCTGTATATACAAGAAAAATGCAGAGACCACAGATCAGACAGGATTAAGTGACCAAGCTGAGTAAGTATTTTCTCTGTCTTTAATACAATAGCACTACTCTACTGAAATTAACTGACTATGTTAAAGCAGAACACTGTCATAATTTTATTACTATGACATTGAATTTCCCAAAAACATGTTGTAGGACATTAGACATTAATCAATAACTTTTATGCGTGACTGTATTGCTGATGACTTGTGATGCAAGTCGTATTTATTATATTTATATAAATATATTATATTATAATTATTATTATAATTATATAAATAATAAACAAAACGTACATTGTTTTTATTGTCTTGATTGGTGAGATGAAGACAAATCTTCTGCTCTGGTGCAACAATAAAACTCTATTCTATAATAATCAATTTATCCTCCCTCTTCAGTAAAAATCTATATTCAATTTTTCATTTTCAATTTTGTTTACAGATCATCAGAGTTAATGCCACTGAAAGGCTAGAAGAAATGGAGAAAATATAAGCAGAAGACAAATAAATAGTCAAACCTCTCCACTAACGATTAAATGACACTTGATGCACTTACCGTATTTGTTTCTGGGAACATAAACCTGAAGAAAGAGCGTTCATGCTGAAACAAGACCTTCAGTTCTGCGTTTTGGAGCCGTTCAGCAAACATCTTATCCAAATTGATCAATGGAGGAGTCGCACTACACTGCTTCTTCATTACAATGCAGACCCGTATACAAGACAGGGATGTTTTATGAGACTCCGGCTGGTGAAGTGAATGAATTCTAAAGTAGTATATTGCGCACGTTTAATCTAAATGTACTGCTATATACACAAAAGTGCAATAACATGTGGTTTGTAAACACTTAAGGGTGCTTTTTACCAGCAGTATTCTCTTTACACAGTAGCAATAAAATATTTCTGGTAAATCTCAACTTAAACATTAATGTAATCAAATCAAGTTACCGTCAGAGTCCAGTTTTCTTGTTTTCAGCAGGTATCTTTTTTCAGGGAGCAGCAGAAACAGTCTGTGTTCAGCAGCAAGTTTCCCTGTCAGAGTGAGGTGAAGTGCTCGAGCACAAGGTGCAGCGACAAGCCGGTGCATTCCTGTGAAACTGTTGCGGTTGTGCGCGCCTCGTGCACACGCCCACACGCCGGGATAGTTGAATTGTCTTTTTGTAGCAACGCGCAGCACAAATCATATGTTAAAGCGATCATAACGCGTTAACGTGCCCAGCCCTAACTAAAATATATGATGTAATGCAATATAAATAAGGCCGTGTGATGGATTGGCGACCTGTCCAGAGTGTACCCCGCCTTTTGCCCTGCTAGGATTGGCTCCAGCCCGCCGTGACCCTGTACGCAGGATAAGTGGTTGACGATGGATGGACAATATAAATAATATACGTTATTTGCTGTATGAGGTAAAAAGTCTATGAACCTTTTGTCGAGAAGTTTTATTTTACAAATAAAAAAAAATCTGTTTTGAATTATTCATTTTTGTCCTGTTTGAATAATTTAATGGTAAAGATCATGTTGTTGGGCGCAAAGCTACAGAAGAGGTTTAGGGCCACATGTGAAGATTATGAGGCAGATAAACCTTTCACGTGTGGCCCTCATCCTCTTCTGTACAACCCTCATATCTACACATGGATTTTAGATGATGGCAGTGCATTATTGGTTTTAACCAGGAGGGTTTGAAATGGTTATATTTGTGCTGAAAAGAAGACCAAGTTTCTCAAACCACAAACTGTCAGGTGAAGTAAAAACTGGAGTTATGAGGTCTTCACACAATAACTCTGATAAAATAAGCCCAACTTTTACTCTGAATGCATGTAAAATTACCTATTTTACACCTTTACCTTTACTACAGTAAAGGAGTATTTTCATATGTACTCAGAAATACTACTTGTACTGTATTACTGTAATTCTAGAAATCTGCCCTAACGCAGACTGCAGGTCACATCGGAACACAACACAGCCTGTTATCATTCATGTCCAAATCAACAATATTTTTCTTTTCTTTAGATGGACATTTGCAGCCTTACAGCTATTCAAATTATTAATTATATGATTTATATAACCCCCTTCCTCAGCCTTACTGGAACTAAATTATATAGTTCAAAGTTCTCTCACAGTAAATGTACAACGTAAACAGACAACTTTGGTTATTATTAATGATTGCACAGCAATAGTCTCCTACTGAACAGTGAGATAAAGCAAACAATGCCATTCATGCCCTAAATCAGAAAATGAATTAAACAAAGGCAACACAAATGAGGTAATCGAGCTAGTGTTGTGATGGTGCTATCACAAGCAGTGGTTGAAGATGTGAAAAATGATGTAAGTACATCCAGTGCTCTAAGTGGAACAAAATAAGGTGCGAGTACTGACCTGATTCTGACATGTCTCCAGCGTCCCCAATGAAAATGACACCTAGGCTATGTGTCAACACTTTTAAATGTCCCGCTCCATCCAGGCTGTGATTGGTCGGTTGCAGAGTCTATGGAGTTGCTCTGCCCCATCGAAAAGTGTCTTCCCTTTTCTAATCCCATAAAGGTATAACTCGCTAAGTATTATGACGTCTTGTTTTTGATTATATTCTAACATCATTTCAGGGGTAGCATATTCTGATACACTGATATCAAATAATGCTCCCACTACAGAAATTGTACCACTATACTCACTCCATGTGTACTGAAAGGAGATGGGGAGCATGTTGAAATACTATATTATGACATCTTCATTTAAGATATCAGGGGTAGCATATTCTGATGGACTAATAAAGATTTTATTTTTTGATATTGCTGACGATCAGCCACTGTCTCGACGGCATGCCCAACAGCAAGGTTGCACAGATTTATGGCCGTGGAAACAGACCACGCTTGTGGGTCCTACGCTTGCGCAGAACCGCTAAATAGCACATCTCGATAGATATTATAAATAAACAGAACACCGGCAGTATGGTGGAAATAAAGTAGAGTCAAATGTTGAGTCAAATGTTGAGAAGCACTGAGTACATCAGAAAAATGTACTTGTGTATTTTGCATTTTCCTGCTGTGGGTTTTTAAGGACATCACATGTTTGTAGAGTCGCTGTCCTGTGAGAAACTTTTATCTCTAAACAGGCCTGTTTTCAGCTTTGTGATGATCCATTTTCCATATTATATTTAGGTTTATATAAATAAGGAGTTCAGAATATATATTGTTGATTATCCACATTAGTTATCAATCTATTTGTGTAACTTTGGTTGGTAGACTGACTTCTGTTTCAGGATTCTAATCTCGTTGGTTTTATTACAGGCGTGGACTCACAGCACGAGCAGACCTGGTACTACTAGTACTATAAATACCTCATATCCTTTACCAAGTCTGGACAGTAGATGGAGGCACAAACTGCTGTCGTTGCTTTCTGTTGCCTCAGTTAACCTCTTCTATATCTGTTTCAATCTTACTGAAACAAAGAAGGAAAGCATTTGTTTTTGATTATTGAATGATTTTGTTAATTTATCTTCTGAGTCAGAAAATATTGCTCTTTGCTACGTGGATGATCTGTATGTATTTTTAAAGCCAGGTACTGTGACCTTTATTATGTTCAGCCTTACAGAAATTAATAACAGGTGTGCAAACATTTCCTGCAGATGACTCTGAATCAAAAATATTTATATTGCAATTACCTTTCCAGCCCTTCAGCACTAGCATCATACTCTCTGGTCGACTTATCTAATAAGGGCCCCATAATTTAGGTGGAGCCTACTTTGAGTCAGAGTTGTTTTCTGGTGCTCAGGTGAATTGAGTGCTACAGTACTCGTTCCTTTCATCTGCAGATCTAGAAAATGTCATCCAAGTTTTTATCTTTTCCAGACTCAACTATTGCAGTGCACTTAATGTCTGCATTTAAAGCAGCCAAAGAGTACATCTGCCACAAAACATTGCTGCTAAGCTTTTGAAACATAAGTGACTACATCCTTGATGCCCTTCACTGTGTGTTATCAGAGAATCGATTCTGAGAGGATGCTTTATTTATTCCAGCAACAGGTTACATCAGTGAATGGGTCTGGTTCTGGAAATTAATAAAGGAGAAATATCTTCAAATCAAATACTTCCAAATAAGTGTTTTCTATTCTAAATATTAAATATTCCAACAAATCTGATGGAAAACTTCCTTAAACTTGGTGTTCAAATAACGTATATTATTGACATAACCCATAATAGCATTCACTGATTCAAGGTAGCACATGGAAAGACACGGCAAAAAAAAAGAGAAACTGAGAAATATACAAAGGCCTGCAGGTAACAAGAAGCGTAATTGTCCTTGCTGGACAACGAAACTGTCTGTCGCTATTCTGCGATCTGGGAACACACATCTGGCTTTCCTACAATGAGACTTCATTTTTGTAAACAACCTCCATCACAGAGGGCCCCTCTCTGCCCAAGGGCCCCTGGGCGCTCAAATCCAGGTAATTTAGGCAGAAACAAACTAAGACATGAACACACAGCAACATAACAATCTGGCAAGGAACCAAGGAAGTGAACTGGTATAAATGATGAACAGCTGATGAGCGAATGGTGGAACAGGTGTGTAGATGGGTGGAGCAGTCAGGTCACGTGGAAAGGAGGGAAAGTCTGAGGGTGGCCTGGTGGACCGATTGAGGATGGCAGGTCTGAAGAGTTGAGAGAATCTGATCTGCTAACTCCCTATGAGCCTTATCGCTGCTTCAGATCCTCCAGCAGGGCCCTACTAATGCAACAAAATCTTAGCTAGTCATTGAAGCTCATGGCTTTTGATGGTATTTGTTGTAGTTTTTTAAATTGTTTTATCTTTTATGTTTTGGATATATTTACTTAGCCTATTATTTTTTTTACTGCAACACACCTTGTAACTGTGTTTTTGAAAGGTGCTATAGGCATATACCTTTTAAAAAAGAGTGAGAATGAAAGAATAGATTGTTAAAGGGTGTTGACTGACCCACGCAAGCTTCAACGGGGAGCCTGAAGTATTTGAAATATTTCCTAGACAGCTGATTCATGACATCAGCACAGTAACAAGTCAGACCAGTTGGACTGCTTTAGTAAAATTCACTAAGTTAGCACTGCTGATTTATTTCATTTAGTTCATCAAACAGTATCGACAGAGGAAGTTTAACAGAAGGATGACTGGGGGGATCAGGTGTGTCGTGTTTGTGGTCCTGACCTTTCTGCTGAGTCTCGCAAGAGGAGGTGAGTGAGGCGTTCACAGCCCATCTGATCTTATTCTAAACATAAATCACAGAGGTGTTTAAACTTGGTGCATTAGTGTCACGATTATTTTCACTAAAGAAAGGAAGCACATCAGGAAAAACAATAAACAAAGATGAATTTATAGAAAAACTTAAAGATCTGTTGACTCAAAGTCACAGAAAGAAGAACGAGGTGTCCAGCTGTTCAGATATTTTTGATGTTATGTGCCACTGTTTTAAGATATTTTCCTCTGAAACGATAGGCGATAAACAGGATTTTATTTGTGCTACTTAATGACAAGTGACAACTCTTCAGGTCTGTCTGATGTTTATAAAAAGTATTACATTTCCTTTTTTGGACACAGTTACCCAAGATTGAACCTGACATATTTTATATCTTTGGAAACTTGAGGATCTCCACTAGACTTTAAAAGAAAGATCTGCTGGCTTGAACAATGTTTTGCTGCACAGTATGACTTTGTTTAAACTGACCCACCAGGTCACTGAGGTTCCAATTATTTTTATATACTATAGTAAAAACAAATCTGTTGTAAAGGAGGAAAAGACTGAGAGCATCATCTTGTCTACAACTTTAACTGGAATCCTGCTGAACCTGTCTTGATACATTCCTCCAAAACAGACTGAAGCCTGAAGTGAATACTTTCGTTTTCCAGTTGAGTTAAAGAGAAACCAGCACGTAGCAG